ATGCATAGTCGTCATAAATATTTTCTATGTATGTTGTGTATTCATATTTTACTAAAAAAGAAGAACAATTGTTAAAACAAAATAATCAAAGGACGTAAGTGTCATCACTGGGAGGCTTTTTCATTCAAATTTTTCATTTTCTCTTGTCATTAGCTCATACTTCTTGTTGTGCCATTTGCGTATAGATTGTGTATATACATATATTAATAAAGAAAAAAAATATTTTACTCAGAAATAGTAATAGATATTATTTTATATGATTTTTCTTACACAATTTGAGACTTATAACTGATTTGTGTTTATGTAATTGGATACGTCCAGTCTATTCCAGGCAATTTTAAGTAAAATAAGCGATTAAACCATCATATGTCTGTGAGTATTATAATCGGCACCTACTGTATATTATATGTATCTACTTAAACGATTTTTAATGTGATTTAACAGAATTTAAGTTTTTTCACTTATTCGATATAAGTTATTACGAAAATGCCATTGTATTTCTGTCAATATTTTGGCTTATGCCCTAAATCCTATTACCACCTATTTACTTACAAAGAATTCACTACGAATTATAAAATAATTAACCTGCAATTAGTTATGTGAACATTAAACATTGTTCGATTCAAAATTGCACATGTTAAAATGTATAAGCTTGTTCGTGATAACTCATAAAGGGCTTATATACTTTTAACACTATTCATTTATCAAACAAATTATAGCCTATTTAATATGTACAATTTAAAATTAAAAAGATTAAACTTTTAAATAAGTATGATATTATAAAATGGTTTGCATTCAAAGGAAAATAATGTAATACTTCACATAYAGTTATCACTAATACTGTTAATTTATCGTAATAAATTATAATTCTATAAAAGTAACTAGGTATATTATATTATTATATGCCTTTACTACTACTTAGTATACTGTGCTGAATCTATACTAACCCACCTTTAAGCTTATGTTGAATTATACTGTCCTGATCTTGTTTAAACAATATTAAAAGTTTTAACCATATTATAACAAAAATATATAAAGATACATTTTTCACTTTATTATATTATGTAATTTCAGAAAACAATTTTTAYTTCTATCGAAAGAACATGTTTCGTAAAATTATTACTTTTTAAATTACGGTTTGCAATAACTTGTATTTATGATTATTATCATTGTTTTAGGTGCCTGAACAAATCGTAATCTCGAGAAAACCTAGGTTTTCTAGAAGAACTATAGTAAAATTATAAGCTGTAAATGAAAGTATAAAAAATTCAAAAAAAAAATTCTTTTTACTGATTGTTTATTAGGTATATTACCTAGCAATATAGTATGGCRTGTAATTTAAGGTACTGATATTTTAATATTTGAAATAATATTGTATTACTATTTTACAAAATAATTACTTTTACCTTGYTTACCCATTAGGTTAATCACATCACAATCATTTTATATGCATATCTAGGTACATAATATACATAACTATCCTTGAAAATTCACAAAAATCGTTTATCTAAAAAAAACCAAAATAATAATACCAAAATCTGATTGAATGTAGTATGATTCATGAGTTAACTGTATTTACTGAAAGTGTATTTAAAAAAAAAAAACATATTCTATCATAAAATTCATCAAACCTCGAATTTAAACGCAGATACCTTCCGATGATATTAATATATACCACTTTCAGCCAGAACGTATCAATAGAACAGTGCTGTAGTAAAAGTGATACGGTGTATAATAAAAAAATAAAAACAATAAATAAATACGCTTAATATTTTTACCATGTTTTTTTTTTATTTTGTTTTAGGTACTTTCATATTTCACCTTCGTCACCTAATTGGTGAATCGATAATTTTTCGTTTACATATCCTATTACCTACACTACATCACCTATTTATAATATGTATATATATATAATTACTAACATAATAACACACTAGACTTGATCCAACGGTTTTACATTTTTTTCCGTGTTGATATTATTATTCCACYARTAATAATTATTTCCGTTTTTAATGATTATAGTTATAGGCGCGTGTATAACATTCGCGGTTTCGAATCACTTTCGCCGCTGCARCCGATGATGACGACGTCCTCGGCGCGGGGCGGTCGTCCTATCACCCGTCGCCAAACCACTATAATACGTATACATACATCGGGCATGTTGTATAATAATACTTTAATATTTCTAATTTTTTTACGTTATATTTTACGCACGTCGTTCTCCACCGTATAATTTTGAAGCTCTAATTTATTATACTATGTAATATACACTACATACTACACTACGTACTACATATACTATATATCATGTGTAAATGTACAATGTATGTAAAGTATATACATGTAAAGCATTATACTCGGAGACAGCCAGATAGGTACACTCTTATGATACATTTATTATTATTAAACCCTGCAAATGATTATGATATCCTTTAAAATTGATTTTGAATCGTTTGTATTTATATCGAGACACTTATTCCTACTACTTTCTTACAAGTTTACTATTTATGTAAATTAGACTTTTGATTAACACAAACTGGAATTGAGTATGACATAACATTACTGATAAYGTGAAAGTTTTTTTATTTCCAGCCAAATATTTTATTCCGTMATGTAAGCAATAATTGGTATAAAATGGTGGTATAGAATTTAAGTATTTGAAATGCTCGCCAAAAATATTAATGCCGTAACATCAGCCGTGTATATATGTAGCACAGTGGCGTAATTACGGTGGGGGTTTTGGTGTCATATCACTCTATGATTTTGTTTTTAAAACTAACAAACCATATATAAGTACTTATTTAACTATAAATATTATTATTTATAGGTATACTATTATAAATTTTGATTTTATAGAAATAATACATAAAAACCTGACTCACCTTTACTAGCTGTACTAAGATTATATTACGTCGTAATAAACACTAATCACTTTTACACAAAAATATATTGAAATACCTACGGCATAACAATGCAGTTTAGCTCTCAAGTGATTTTTGGAAATTATTCCGGAAATTTATGTATGTACCTTATCGAGTTAAGAATTATGCTGTTATCAGAATTTTTCATTAGGACTAACTTCCAAAGTTGTTATATTTTGAAGATTAATGATGAATGATGATTATCGGGGAGGGGGGGAGGTACCTAGTAAATTTTTCAATTCCGTCAACAAACATGACCAAATTACGTTACTTACATATAAGTAAAAGTTACCTAAATTTGACAAGCCTTCTTAAATTTACAATGCATATTAACCTAATGTACCTTTATATATTATTTTTTATATCTTAATACATTAAGAATTAGTTTATACGCACGTTATTACTGCAGGAAATTAACTCCCTGTAAATTAACGGCTAGCGTCATAAACATGGAAATACTATAACTAAATAAATATATAATATTAAAAAATATTAATAATTTTCCGTCAAGTTGATTGAGTGGTATTTTAGATATTCCGTCAATCCTTGGTGTTTGGTACTTACGTATACATCAAACATTACACAAGTCCTTATTGATGGCGAGACTCTTCCACTGCCCCTCCCCTTTAAATTAGCATGCACTATTGGTTGCTGCTATCGACTATCTCGCCTTCACGCTAAAATAACGCCACACAAAACTGCCGGTATTTAAACCGGTCGTGATCAACAAATAGTATTATGATTTGATTATTTTTCGACGATAAAAAAAAATGAACCAAGAAAAATTGGGATTTTTGACAATTATATAATATATTGGCCCAGTTTTATTGTATAGAGTAGAATATTACCKTATGGTAGGATGTAATATACTACACAGTTGCAGTATTAAATGGTCAATGTTATAGACTAAGTGAAAAATCTTTATCGGGACATCTCAACGACACTTTAAAAGGTTTTCAGTTTTTT